ATTTGATTTCACATGCCATATATTAAAGTATGTATACTTGAGAAAACAAAAGGATATATGGGCATGATAGAAAAATACAGCAGCTAGCACAACATCCAATTTAACGATACTTGCAGTGACATGACATGTTGAAGAGTTATTGAATCATGAAATTTACGGAATCTAAGTTTAGATCGAGAGTATGATCTCAGTCACGTCAAACAATACATACCAAACTACATAATCACCTTCGATTGGTTCTTGAGGCTTACTTTGTTACAATAAACAAATAAAGAGCTCTTACCGCAATGTTTGTTAACGAATATCTACTAACACAGTCATAATAGAATACCTTAAATTTTCTCGGGACCCATTTAAGCATCTATATGTAGCCTACATCTTGCACACTAAAGACGGGTAGGTTTATGGTATATCAATTGATTGTTGAGGTTTACTTTGATATAATAAATAAAAGGAGTTTTTAGTGCAATAACTAGACTAGATTAGAAACAATCTTAGTTCAGAGAGGTATAGATTTACAACTCAACACATATCAAATTTAAACTCTTCGTAGATTTGAACACATGCAATTCCAATTCCATAGGTAACATAAGGCTTTCGAAAAGTTTAAGAATTTTTTTTTAATGCTCCCAAAATGGTGAGACAATCCCATGTATTCCGGTTAAATATCGCACAGAATCATATGGGTTCCTGACATTCAATCATTATTTTTTATGGTCGAATCCATCTTGCATCTTGTTTCTCTCTTTATTTTGTTTACTCTTTTTATATCAACCAAATAAAACTGAAGATTTACTTTTGTCTGGGATCTTTGGGGGCATTTGATTCTCCATATATGCCACTTCTTAGATCATATTTGGAGGACGTAAAAGACATGCCCCTCTCGACAAATATTTTATCCCTCGTCTCAATGGATGGATGTTAGTAGAATATTTGGACAAAAATTATCATCAAAGCCAAGATATGCTAACGTAGTTGAAGGTCAATAATAAAATATAATAAAAAATGTAGGGAACATAAATGAGTAAAAATTGAAAATCTTGATGCGCATATTTAAAATCATGGTGCAAATATATTTATTCTAAAATTTTAGGTCGAATAATACTGAAAGATTATAAAACTCTACTCAAAATTATGTACTTTGAATCAAGTAACTTAGGATAAAATATACATAACATTCTCAACTAATAATATAGATACGTACATGGAGTCGATAAATATCCGAAAAAAAAAATTGACCACTTTTTAGATTCAAGTACTCGAGGTCGAGTAATATTGTTTGGGTTAAGCCATTTGTACGTCAAAAGTGTACATCACTTTTGACATCATTCAAATGACATGATTTGATTGGTGAAAAAACTGTTTATTTTTTTTTAAATTGACCAATAACGTGTTGCCATGTAATACAATGTAAAAAATGATGTAAAAAGTAATGTATATGTAGCATGATTCTTGTTTCATGATACTAATTGTTTCCTTTACTTTTGTGTAAAACAATATGAATCATACTACATGTAATTAAAGTGGTTTTCTAATTATAAATCACTTAAATTACGGGACAAACCGTAATTAGATATATTATTTAAAATTAATCCGTAATTAGATTTATTATTTAATATTTAAATAATACATATTAAACACCTGATTTCTGTATAATTAAACTTCATATTAAACACCTGATTTCCATTATAAGAAAGTGTTTCAATTCATTAATTCTGTCCTTGTAGTGTTATTTTTGTCAAAGAGCTTTTTAGTTTTAACAATGATTACGTCCAAGCCCTTTTACGGCCGCGTCTGTATAAATTCGATTTTGTAAAATGGATTTTCAGACAATTTGGTGACCTCGTCCAGCCCATAATAGGAAATTTTATGCCCAATTTGATTGCTCTTTAGAAGAAATTGGAAACATAAATTTAATATCAATTATAATCAAACTATTAAAAATATAATATAAAATAGCGTAAAATCATGAAAATATAAAAAATGTTTCCATTTCTTAGCATTCCTTCATACTCAAATTGGTGTCCATAAAACATTCTACAACACTACAGAAATTGGTTTGTAATTTTGTTGATTATTTGATATACTTTAAACAAAAAATTAATATTAGTTACCGTAGATATAGTCCATGGGTAATTATAAAAAAAAAAAAAATTTGTTCTGATGATAGCAAATTACAAACTTAGGCATCATATTTTTCAGTCGATAATATATTTAAGAGATAATTAATTTCAAAAAAAATTAAAGAATATTAATTTGTATCATAAAACGAGTATGGAAATTGGTGGAAAAATAATAAAAATAATTAGAGCTACTTTACGCGATAGAAAGCATCAATAGTAATATCCACGTGAAATATTATCAATTTTCGACCATGTAAAATTCTTGTGTACTTTCTCCTTTTTATTCTAACTAATTTCGTCGTAATCACTATTTTTTTTCCATGTAGTAGTCGTAAAGGATGAAAGGAAAATATTATCTTTATTTGCTTTAAAGTTTAAACTGCGGTCAACATTTTGATCACACACGCAACAACGTTGAAAACTTCCGGAGCTTCTAGAGTTACTTTATGGCTTGAGATTTTACTTTACACTTTTGGCCATTTTTCTGTTGAAAGTAGGGATTGATTGCAGTTGACTCGGCAAGATTTTGAACCAGTCAAGATTTTCTTTCACTGTTCTCTTCTTTTGAAATTTCTTGTGAGTTTTGAATCATGAGATCTGCTTGATAGCCAGGGCCAAGTTTGCACATGGCGCCCCCTATTGGTGGGGGTCTGTGGGTGGCGCCCCTAGATTCATTCTTGAATCATAGGACTATCAGCGTGAATTGAAATTTGTCACAATTTGTTTGTAATACCGCACATCACTCTTTTCTATTCGTGTTCAATTTTCTCAAGTTCAATGTAGCAAACATAAATGTTAAAAGAGTCTTTGTCACGACTAGTGAGTATGGTGACGTTTTATACACTTATCTCTGCCGTTAAATTCAAGCAATTATTGTTATTTTAAATGAATTGGGGTTTAATTTTGTATATATTTTGATTGTTAGGTACATCTCGATGAAAAACAATGAAATTGGACAAAAGGAGCGGAAATTTGGCTAAAGTTGAATTAATCTAAAGTTTAAGGACTAAATCGCAAAGTGCTAATAGTTGATTCGGACCCAGTATTAATGATTGGAGAAAAGTTGGAGTCAATAAGATGGATTTGAAAGAGAAAAGATCAAGAAGATATGAAAGGGACCAAAATGACTAAAAATGAAATTCAATGACCAAATTGCAATAAATAGAACTTTACTATAACGGTGGGCACGCACAGGCCAATTCTCTCGAGCGCTCACGTGCCTGAATTCCATTTACCAAGAGCAAAGCAAATAAGCGACGCACACGCGGTGAATGGCGCGCGCGAGAGCAAATTCTGGGTCGTTCCTAATTTGATCCAAATTTTTATGAAAATTAAATTCAACAAACTATTTAACCTACAAGGGATGGCGAGAACGAGAGACGTCATATAAAAAACCTACTTTTCACCACAAGTAGGGGACTAGTATAAGATTCAAAAACAATTAATACAAAAGATTAAAGATTCAAACTTCGGGTTGAAGATAAACGAAGAAATTGATTTTTCACTTTCCATTCATTGTTTTTCATTTCAGGTGATTTTTTCCAAATCTTTTTATGTAATTTACATAACAACATGTTAGGCTAATTTTTTTTTTTTATTTTTTGTATTGGATGAATATGAAACCTTTTATTATTTACTTTTAATTTAAAACAAGTAGTTAGTTAAATTTTTTTTTTTTTAATATTGTATGAGTAATTTTATTATTTGATTGCTTGATCAGCAATTAAATATATAGTTAATTGTTGTAGTGCTAGGAGACTCATAATAGGTCTAGAACACTACTTGATTAACATACGTGAAATAGATATTATGAATAATGTTTATCACGTGTGCAATCTTTGAGATAATTGTGAAATTGAATGCGTTCTATCCATTCGAATTCGAATTAAGAATAGGTTCGAGTTATGATTAGAATAAATTTAATTTGTCTTAGAAAATAGAATTATTTACAATAGAATTATCGATTGTCAAGAATGCATGAATGATACAAGTTACGTAATATAGAATTGAAATAAATAATAATAGGTGAATTCGTAATCCAATACACTCATTTCATATACATACAAAACTCGAATTTTACAAGCTTCTGTAGATTTGTTGAGAATAATTACAAACCATAAATCTCTTTTGTTCGCTTACATTGAATTTGATTAGAAAATAATACCCTTCATTGAATTTGATTTCTCGTGGGACGATACGCGTGCTCATCATGTATTACTTGTCGACGATCCCGTACGACTGCGGGTTTCGCACTAACATCGTCAAATAGAGTAATTCTCAACTTATCCCTGGTGACTAGCATATCGTTATCCGAATGCAGGAAATAATTGTGTAGTGTCCATGTCTTGTTAGCACCTTGTTATCCACATTCAAGTTTAGTCTGCTCTTGTGAGTAACAAGATTGGTTGGAGCAATTTGTGCTATTGTTACTGTACTTGCTGAAGTCAAGAAGATAACAATAAGAAGATGCCGCCAGCCCTGGATGCCTACTTGTTAAAGCCTAACAAGTTGCGGCCAAAACAACTTTATTAATACAGATCAAACTCTATGGCACTGAAAACTAGACCATGAAAACTGCAGCAAATCAATTTTCTTTCTCCTAATATTCCCAGTTTCAGCAGCAACCAAGAGTTCTATCCCAAAAAATGTCTCAACAGAAAAGAAAAGAAAAATGCTCATATTAAACTGGTAAGAATCTCAGTAGATGAAAGAGACAGTTAAATTCCATGTTCAACAAAGTTACACCGGCGACAATACTGACACGAATTTCCTAGTGCTAATTAAAAGTTAACATTACTGATACAAAAATGGTGCGATTATTGTAACCCTATAAGCCTTGGCTGATCATCAAATGCGCAGAAGTTTTGCTGGCAAACTTCATAACTGAAGAGTGGAGATAGAAGAAGAGTAAAGTAGAGAACTTATATCTCCCCAGCTACAACTTTCTTGAGAAGTACTGTTGCTTGTAACCACGTCCATTAATGTAGAGAAATTCTCTAGTCCATGCAATTGTAGTGGATTAATGTTTCCATTGATGACAAAATCGTCAAGCTCTCCGGGGATCTTATTAGTTCCTTGAAAATGGTCTAAAGTTACACCATAGTAATCACTCATCAATGGTGGGCATGTGCTATTTATCAAACTTGTGCATGTCGAAAAGTTATTTTCGGAAGAGTATAGAGTAGAGGTGTTGATTAATCCAATGTTGTTTAGTTGCTGATTCTCATAAGAAAACCTTTTTCCAAACTGCACGATCAAATTATCGGTGAAGGATTCCTGTTGGTTTTTTATGTGAGTAGATGTTTGTGTTCCACAGGCCACTGAAAAGGGCGGCGACACCACTGGTTGTGGTGGAAAAGGGTAGAAACCGGAGCACTCATTAGCTGAGAAATTCTCATATCCTTTCTTCATTTCTTGCTTGGGGCAGATCCCTCTGCAAGCCTGTCGATCTTTACGTTGCCTGCCTAGAAGCTTCTTCTTCAGCCTTGTATTCCAATAGTTTTTTATGTCATTATCTGTTCTTCCAGGTAATTGCGCCGCTATAATCGACCATCTATTCAGTCACAAAGTAAATTATATTAACAATCCCTCCTTCTTTAGCACACAAATTAATGGAAAGTTGAAGATAAAATGTAACCCTATAGTAAATTACCTGCTTCCAATGCTTATATACAGGCTGCAAATTAAATTATCTTCTTCCTCAGTAAACCCTCCATGCTTGAGGTTTGGCCTGAGATAATTCAACCATCTAAGCCTACAACTCTTCCCACATCTCTTCAGACCTGGCATAAAATTAAACATGTTAAGCTTTCGATTAAGATCATGGAAACCAGAAAAGGCCAAAGTTTGTACCCATTTTTTGTGGTAAGGCAATCCAGTTTCCACCCGTGCCACGCTTCTCAATATAGGCCTTCAGTTTTGCGTCTTCTTCCGGTGACCATGGGCCTTTCTTCACGTTGGCTTTGTCACAGCAGGGAGCTCTCCCCATCTCTGCTGGAAGAGGGGGTGGGATTGGGGGTATGAAATGTGATGTTTGTAGTTTTGAAGTTGGAGTTGGTTTTTCTTGATATCACATGCAAATGACAGTATAATATATATAATACACGAGAGAAAGAGGGAGTGGGATACTATAATAGCTGGAGAAGAAGAAACTTGGAAATGGGATCCAATTATCACTGGAATTCCTAAAGTGGAGTGGAAAAGGATGAGACTTTATGTATAAATTAATGGAGGAATTTGAATGACAGAACAGTAGACCAAGCGTTTTCTCATTTGTCTTTATTAGTCCAGAATCTAAATTAGTGCTTGTTTGGGAGGGATTTTTGGGGAAAGAATTGATTTTGAATAGTGATATGATGAGAAATGTGTGGTTGAAAAAAAAGAAAAAATTATTGATGTGATGGAAAATATTATTTTATTGAAGAATGTGTGGTTGAAAATGAGAATTGATTTACTGTAGAAAAATTTAATTCCTCCCAAACAGGGCCTAAGTAAGTAAGAAAATATTATTTTATTGAAAAATGTGTGGCTGAAAATGAGAATAAATTTACTGTAAAATTTTGAGAATCCCTCCCAAATATAAATTAATATATTAATCCATTATTTTGCTCTACTCTCTCCAACTACCAAACAAGGATAATTTTGGATTGTAATTTTTCTTATAATTATTAATCTGATGATAATATCTAACTAATAAATAATGAAATTAATTAATTATGATTTTACAAGAGTAATGCTATTCATAGTCGCTCACTACAGCAGTCGTCCTATGTGGCACACACATGTCAAGTGTGTATTTGATGCATTAATATGGTAGTTTTTTTACCACATTAATGCATTAAATACACACTTGACATGTGTGTGTCACATAAAGCGACTGCTGCAGTGAGCGACTGCAAATAACATTATTCTTTTTTGTATTGTAGATATTTAGAAAGCAAGTAGTCGTTCTATGAACTAGACTATGAGATTTCCATAATATCGACAAATTATCTATTTTTCCATTGATACATGGAAAACATTGCCGACATAATCTTGTTTTGGATAAAAAATGGCTACCCTTCTCTCTAAATCCATAACCCCTGCCACTATGTGCTCGATCTCTTAGAAGCAAGAAGAGGACTTTTCCATTCGATGGGGGATTCTCTTGACAACTTCACAACTTTCTTTTTCATATTACTCATCTTTGAATAGATCACTTTTTTCTTGGTCAGTGAATATTTGTTATGAATAATCTTGACTGATTAATGCACTAAACTACATCACCAAAAGGGCTAGTGCTCAATTCCTTCATGCCGTGTTGACATAGAACTTTGAAACAGTTCAGGTTATTGTTGTCATTGATTACGTTTGATAACTATAATTTCCAAATTATTTACATTGCCGAAGTTCATTGAAAAATCATGTGTGACAATCAGAACACACAGCTTCTAGGAAAAAAAACCATTCAAAAATAAAAAAAAATGTGAGATAGGCTCAATATTATCGATTTTTTTTTAAATTTTATAAGAAAATCTAGATAGGCTCTGTGCTGCTATAGTTCTAAGTCACAAGTTTATGTATTTTAGTTACTTGAGAGGCAAGGGGCTGGGCCAAAACCGTGGAGTCTCGGCCGACGGCGGCTCATATCCACTTGGACCCTAGATACGTTACTTCCAATCATCAATCATTAATCAATTATGGAAGCCGACATGTAATGACTCTTGGAAAAAGCTATCAATTAAAATTAATAAAAGCCCTTTTCCAACAGTATATAAAAGTTGCAAATGGTCGGATTTCTTCCATTTATTTATATATTTGAAAGGAGTAATCTAACTTCTTAGAATTCAGATTGGATTTCACCATTTAATGTCGAATATGGGTACCATGTACATGTAATATGTACACACATTGGCATGTACATACAAGTTTTATTGATCGATTTTTTGAATTAATTATCGAATGTAATAAATGAATTTCAACTTATTTAGAAAAAAATCGACAAACTTGCTACTACTATTGTTGTCAATGCTTATAATGTTTTTAAGTACACAAGACTCTGTGCGTGCGTGTGTGTGTTCATTTTTGTAATAATAGTAGTATATATTGAAATATTGTGGGATCCTTTAGTTTCTTTTCTTCTAATGGGTTAATTAAAATAAAAGTATTTATTTAAGTTCCTAATTAATTGCTTAAAAATCTTGATCTCTCTCTCTCTTTCTCACTTTCTCTCACACAAATATGAATTCCTAGTTCCCTAATGGTTTTGATCATGATTATAATTTATAAAATTAGGCTAAGAATTTTATTTTATTTTTGGTTATGTATTTCTTTGAAACTCAATTCGATATTTTTTTTTTTTTTTTT